TAATATGGAACTAATATTATTTTTTTAATTATTTAGTTAGTGCATGTCAACTGTTAAAAAATAGGTACCAACTTATCAAAAAATAAAAATAAAATAAAATTAGACTCTATTCACACATTTAGTAGCAGTGGTATACTCTTATTTTGCCATATCATTGTTTTGTGTTGAATAGACACATATTTTGAACAATTTAGGTGTTCAATAGGTACAAGTCCTAGTTAAGGTGTCTAAGTGAATTATACGAACAACTTTAAGGGGCTGCCGATGACTTAAGCCTATAATATATAACAATATACCTCCAAACACATATTAGATTGACTATTTTCCAACATAACAATATCAAATTAATTATTGAGAATATATATACACATACATACATATATGCATATAGATGTGTGTGTGTGTTTCGTGTGTATAATCAAGTAACATATGGAGATTCTTCCAAGAAAATTATGTGTTTCAAGAATTTAGTATTTTCTAAGAAATGGAATAAAATTTCATAATTTAAATTATTTTTGTGCAAAATATTTAAGATATAGTTGTGATATACCATGATCATTAATTAAAGGACCTATAATCAAGTTATTTTGAACATCATGAAATAAATTCTTGGCATTATCAAATAAAAAATTATAAATCAGACTAAAAAAGTGAAGGTAAAGAATTGGATTATTATAAAGGGAAATACCTAAATTACGAACCAAAAGTGTAAAATTAGATTAATATGCATATATATAGATATATGTATGTTTTGTAATTATATTTTTTAAATATGTAGTAATATAGTGGGTTTGGTTCAATTTTTAATCAAAATCAAACTAAATTAGATGAAATTATGACGATTTTTAAAATTTTAAACCAAATGCTACCTAGAAGATTTTAATAACTCATCCAAAATTTGGCAAGTAGCCAAAATCAAATTAAATCTAACTAAATAATATTAATTTTTATTCCTTTGATTTGATTACGGTTCTCGTGAACACCCTTACTCATGATACATTTTAAAAAAGAGATGAGATTTTAGCAGATATTACTCGTAATAATATCTACTGATAACGTGGGAACTATTTTCTTTTTTTAATGGGGTTATGGCTCGTGAGTCGTGGGCTTAACCAAAAAAGAAAGAGAAAAAGAGTCATTGGCTACAAAAATATTAGGGGGAATAAGCAAATACCCCATAAAAGTAAAATAATTACAAACATATATCCCTTTACATTCATACTCCACTAAATAATTATATTATATACCCCTCTACTAATTTCGCTTAACGGATACTAAATCAGTATCATATATACTATATTGGTATCATTAAGGCTAATAATTTCGCTGAATTGATACTAAATCAGTATGCTAAATTGATACTAAATTAGTATATATATACTACATTGATATCATTAAGGTTTCTTGTTAAGAAATTACTCATTAGTCAATGATACTGTAAGAGTATATATACTCTTACAGTATCATTGACTAATGAATAATTTCTAAATAAGAAACCTTAATGATACCACAACAATAGACATATATACTCTTATAGTATCTTTGACTAATAAGTAATTTCTGAATAAGAAACCTTAATGATACCACAATAATATACATATATACTCTTATAGTATATATATACTGATTTAGTATCAGTTAAGCGAAATTATCAATCTTAATGATACTAATACAATATATGATACTGATTTAGCATCAATTAAGCAAAAACTATCACCCTTAATGAATGTGGGGTATGAACTATAATTATTTATGAGAGAATGTGTATTTCAGGAATTACTTTTGATTTGGGTATGAACTTGTAATTACATTGAATTTTATGGCCCATTTATGTATTTTTCCCAAAATAGGGGTATTGGTGCTTTTGCATCCAGGAAACGTGACCTAATAGTCAATGAAATAGTTAAAAATCTTGAGGTCTCAAATTCAAAATTCAACTGATACAAAAAATATTAGGTGATTCTTTTCATATGTCCTAACCTTGGTGGACAGAATTACCTGAAACCTATTGTTGGTAGGAGGTGACATGTATTTCGTGAAATTAGTCGAGACTCATGAAAATTAATTCGAACACTAATTAGTCAAGATTCACGAAAATTGATCCAGATATCAAGATCATAATTTTTTTAAATTATTGGTGCTTTAATGATCGGTGTGGAGCATGGAAAGAAAAGCATATGTATGGGACAGCCATTTACGTCCAAGACACTCTTTTTGCATGACTTTTAAATACATTATTGTTGCTCATATGAAATTTGATTTTATTATTCATTTTAGATGTCTTTTAATCCTACTTTCTATTTTGCACGATTTCACACCAACAGAAAGCTGAGGCGACAGGAATATAAATTATTTATATTAAAATAAATGAACAATACTGAGGAGATTCCTATAAAAAAAAAATTACTCATTAGAAAAAGGTCTAATCCATCGGTAGCTCCTTAAAGTTGGGACGAAATTTCACTTAGACACTCTAACTGAGAGATGTTCATTCTAGACATCTCATGTAGAGTTCCGTTGTGTCATTTTGATACTTTTTTTTTCAATCAACAAAATTATATGAGGTGTGTGTTACACTCGCAAATGACGTTTAAAGTGACAAATTAAATGATGACACTTGTCATTTGTGTCAAACGCAATTCTTAAATAATGAATTTTGAGTAAAAATAAAAAGTGACCAATGAATGAATAACATCATCTTATTGTCAAACGCAATTCCTAAATTTCTAAAATATTTTTCATCATTTTCATCATCTGATTGTAACTATATTTACTAACCATAGTTGGATGTTTAAGTTTGCAAAAATGGTGGCTGAAAATGAAGAGGAAAGAAGAGAAAAAAAAAATTAAAAATTGATTAAATAGGGTTTTCACGCGCAGTGGACGAGTGTATTATACTTACTAAGCCATGTAAGCAAAAAATGTCAAAATGACATAATAGGAGTCAACACAAGGTATCTAAAATGAACATCGTCCGATTAAGGTGTCTAAATGAAATTTCGTGTCAACTTTAAGGGGGCATCGATGGATTAGGCCTTAGGAAAACCTATGTTATTTTATTTTATTTTCGAAAAACTTACCCAATCCTTTTTCTTTAATCCTTTGGAAGTTGAAACTTTACAACTTTTATACTAAAAAATTTGATTTTAAAAGCATAATAAGAAATATTTTTTATTTTGATTTGAAAAGTTAACAAGTAATTTAGATTTTTTTTAATGATACAAACGAATAATACAAAACGGAAGAATTTTTTTTAAAAAAAGGGACTGAAGGGGTATTTACTAAACGTGTGAATTAAGGATATTTTGGCAGACGCACGCAATTACCTATTTAGCTAGCTCAGTAATAAATTGTACCCTTTCCGTATAAATTAAGGTGACATGGTCTGATTTGGTATTAAAAATTATTGTGATTTAAAATACTTTTTGATCCGATTATAAGTTATTTTATTAAGAATAAAAAAAAATTATTAATCAAGTAATTTTTAATTTTACAAAAACATTATTTGAAAAATTTAAAAATATATCATATAAATTAAAACGAATAAAAATAATTGATGCAACATGAACTATTGTGACACAAAGCGCAATTGCATGGCCACGTGCTCTAATTTGATGAAGCAACATTATCCCTCGTGTAGAACGTGATGAAATCATATGTTACTCCTTCCTCTCATATTTGTCTACTTTTGTTTTTACTTATTTTAAATAAATACAAATACAAAAAAATATTTTAATTAATTTATCTTTTTAAATATACCTTTTTTATGTATCTTATTTGTCAATGCCAAGATTAAGAATGAACTATTTCTTATTAAAACTATACAATGTCTATATATATAAAAAAAGGTTCTTTAAGAGTAAAACAAAAAAAACTAATTAATTTTATCTTGATTTTGTAAATTGACAAGTTTTTAATATTGATAGGTGATTTTGCATAAACAAAAGATAAATTTCAGTCATATAACTATGACTCTTTTCCACCAAAATGACATAATTTTGTTTTCTAATCGAAAAATTATAAAACTTTTACAGACTAACACAAAAAATCATTATTGCCGAAAAATCTAAAATCCTGTGGGCTGTGGGTAAGACTTTTTAAATATTTTTTATTTAATAAAAACAAATTCGAAAATATATACTTGATTGAATCGCCGATCCTATCCAAATTTGTTGTGAAGGATGTGTAACATATTACTTACATTCGAAGTAATAATTTTGTGATAAGTTCTTTCCAATTGACTATTTTACTCACTTCAATTCATAGTATTTGAAATTTTTACTTTTAAATTTTGATTTGTGCAACTGTGAGAACTCGATTTCTTGATCAATTTAGTTCCGATTGAGTTTTTTTTTGGTGTATCAAAGGCAACATCATCAATAATATAATCTAGGGGAAGTAGTATATTAATTTGTTTAAATTTTAGGAATCACATAGTTTTAATATGAAATTACAATATATCCCTATTTAGTTTGTAATTACATTAATCCCTGAAAAAGTAAAACAAACCGGATACATAATATGTAGCTCGGATACATTATAAAATAAACCGGATACATAATATGTAACTCGGATACATTATAAAATAATTTAGAATTAGGAGAGAAATAAGAGAGTTTATAGGTTTTTAGAAATAGAAGGAAATAAGGGAAACATAAAACGTGTATTTCAATAATTTTTTCTATTATTTTTTGCATAAGTATTTATTGGACTTTGTGTAAGATGTGAATTGGGCTTTGTGTGTAATGTGAATTGAGAAATATGAGACTAAATGAAGCGAAAATGAAGAGTCATTTCTCCCTCATTTGTAGAATAGGAGAAAATTATTGTACTTATGTTGAGAAACACTTTTATTAACTCTTAAAAATTAACGAAGAGAGTGCCCTCGTGCTGTTGTCTTTGTGTGATTTCGGTTCTGATTTTTAAGTTCGTTAAATATTTGTGTTAACAGAGTGAAAGTACACGAATAGTAGAAATAAACTTGAATAAGAAATTATTTTATTGCCACCACAAGTAATCAATTATGGAAAAGCCGTTTTATGCATCAAGACAACAATTTTGCCTTTTTGAGAACATGACCAAGAAAGCTAAGTCATTACTTCCATACAACACGAAACTATGAGCTAAGAATAAACTTGTGTACAAACACATACATAATTAGCCATTAATTAGGAGTTAACAAAGAGAAAATCAAAAGGAATTAATTTTTGGCTTCCACAGTTTGCAGATTATTGGGCGTATTCTCTATTTTAGCTGATGCACACACTGCGTCGTGCAGACACGACGCAATGTGAATTTTTCCAGAGGAAATTAGAGAACCAAGCTTCACTATGTCAATAATTTGTTCCTCTGTGAGTTCTGGAAAATTCTTATTTTTCTCATCAATGGAAATTATCATGTGGTTTTGTAGCTTTTCTGGAAGTTTTTGCTCCTTTAGGATAGCCTTCTCTTTTTTGTTGTATATAACATAGAGCACCATTTGAAGTATTCCTAGGATGAATCCCAATACATTTGGAATCTACAATGACAAATTTAAGGTGGATGAGTCTATAAGATTCAACATATTTTATGTCACATATATATGTTGATTTCTCATATAATCACTCACTCAACTAATATTTATTATCTCATAAAGACACTCACTCAACTAATAGTTATTATCTCATAAAAACACGGTCAACACATATATAAATATAGTGATGTTCTGAGATACTATTAATTGAGTGGCCATGTATCTGAGAAATCAATTTAATATAAGTATAATTAGATGCTTGAAAATAGAACTTACGGCAATGTTAATGTCTTTTAGTAGAAGACCATAGAAGAACCACACAACAGCACTTAATGTGAGAAAAATCGATAGAAGTAATGGCATATATTCGACGCTCTTTGTTTTAATAACTTGTCTCTGCATAAAATGAGAACTATATATTAGTATTTTATAATGGATGGAAAAACAGGGGAAATCAATGAATAAATTGCACATATATAAAAGCATACCACAATGCCTAATGGTGCAACGAATACACATAAGGAGAAAATAAGGCAAATCCATCCAACAACTTGTCCACGAACGGCTCCTTTGAATAGAAATTCAGTAACTAGAATTATTGCACCAAATCCACACACAACAAATAATAGGATCATCTTTATAGTTTGGACCTGCATTAAGTTAATTATAAATATCAAACTTAAAAAAAAAACTCGTCTGTAAAAAAAATTGTATCAATTTGTCGTAAAAACTTAATTACCCTGGATTTTTTTGGTGCGTAGAAAAGGTAGAAAGCAACGTAGATAGTTTCAATGAAGACACCAAATGAGTTTATAGTGATGAGAAGTGTTGTGTTGGTCTTCAATAATGCGTAGTAAATCCAAAGCATAGAGCTAAATAGAGCAACCACATATGGAATTGATTGATACCCATCTGTTGATTTTTTCTTGTATATTTTATAAAATGTAGGTCTGCAAATGCGAAAATATTATAGACTGTTAGTTAGATAATATGCAGGAAAAAAAAGTTTTATCCCGCATTCATATTTTGAAATTATATATAAGCAAATGGAGACTTACAGTGGAGAAAGAAATACAATGAACGAGACTATGTTACCTGCAAATCGCCAATAAGCAAAAAAATATCATGAGTTTAAACTTCAGAACTTCGAATAGATGTTCGATAGAAAGTGAAATAATTAAAAAAATATATGTTAGGAAAATTATTAACGATATTCTAGTATGATGTAATGACTATTTATTACAATCACAAATAACATGTACATGTAAAATATCGATTGAGTATATATTTTTTTTGGAAGGAGGAAAAAAATATTTACCAAGGACACCAAAAGCAAAAGCCCAATGACCAGAAATGCCAGACATTTCTATTTTATGTTTCTATAGCAAGAAATTCCAAATCTTTAGCTCACCCACAAAGAAGAGCTAAGAGTTGCAAATTCTACTTGACAATGAAATGAAAGAGAGCTACTTTGACATATTTATATAGGCAAAGTTGTAGTGATAGTATAGTATATTTTATTTGAACAAATATTATAATATTATAAATGCAAAAGAGCACTTTGAATAAGAAGTGCAATGCCAAATATCTAAACAAATCCAAAGGTCCCAGGATATATGCTCTTTTATTATGTCATTGCCCAATCTTCAATGTCCCTAAGGCTTACAATTGATCATGCTTTAATAATTTTATTTTAGTGTATTTCTATATAATCAGCTAAAAAAAATCAAGAAATGATGGAGGGACCAATTATTGTCAGCCATTTGGCATCAATAATAGAGTTTGTGCTATCAATAATAGTCCGTTGAGGAAATCAATTTGCTCTGCAATTGCATGCCCAAGGAAATCAGGATATACTTTGCTTTATTAGTGGGTTGTAATTTTATTTATCGATATCGATCTATATGGAGTGTAAAATAAAATAGATGCATTCAATTACTTAGTTTCTTATTATTTGGAAATGTTGAGGACTTGTTTTTCATATACACCAGATGTCAAATCAACGGGTTACGACTATATTTAGTTGAGTCAAAATAAGTTGAGTCGATAATAAATTGATTAGGTTATATCCTACCAGGCCAGTATTGGTTTGGATCAATTGAATTATACAATATAGATCATAACTCAAGCTGTCCAAAAAGTTCTTTTCATTATTGGGTTTCTTTTTTCTACAAATTTTGTTTGGGAATAAAACCAAACTAATGGTAGAATAATAACATTTTCTTTATTTATCATAATTATTTCAAGTAAATCAAACTCGAAAAAGTTAATTTATAGTGTTTTGATAAGATTTTTTATCAGTCAAATTGAACTATATACATGCAAGCAACACAACTTTATTGGCCCAAACTTTAGATGAGCTTAATTACACTCTGCTCAAAACATCTGTCAATGAATATCATAAAATAAATGAACACTAATGCGGGTTAATTATACTTTTTAAGCTATATTTGACACCTTACACATATAATATGTTTTCCTATGCATGGAGTGGTGCATATTGCGTTGTACTCCCCACCCCACCAAAAAAAAAAATGATTCGAATCAACAGAAGTTCAAAATTAGAGTTTATTAATTTTGTTATGCTTGACCAACGACATGGATTGTGGTGCAATGATGAAATTACTTCATTCTTAACCAGAAGTATCAGGTTTGAGTCCTTGGTATGGAGAAAATCCTGTTGGGAGCGTCACCCCTAATCGCCCCTGCAATGTGTGATCCGAATTTAGTCAGGGCTCCAATGTGAATTTCGGACATCGCATGAATAGAAAAATTGTTATGCTTGATAACTTTTGTTGGTAGGTACTTTAAATCTGTTATACAAAAGTTATTAAAATACTAACATATTTTTTAATTTCTTTACTGTTCTCCAACAACCACACGTATTTATAAAAATATGCTCGTGATTTTAAATCGTTTTCCAATGATTGAACCCCAGATGTTTCGTATAAACTTCTTCTCTTACTTTATAACTTCCTTTTCCTTGGATGAAACATAAAGGGCATTTGGTACCACTTTGAACGTTCTTGCTTTAATCTTTGTCGTATAATAATACAATGAAAAAGATATTATAGTGATTAAACAATTGAAAGATGGAGAACCAAAGGTGCATTTCATTTCTTCTAGTTGAGTGGAAGTTTTTGATTTCTCTACTCGTGTTAAAATTGGCCCTTCCAGTGGTGGAGTCAGAATTTTCACAATTCAAAATATGAATAAATTAACGCAACAAGCTGAACAATATAATTTTTCGCCAAAGAGAGAACACACTCTTTTTAGTTAATGATATTCTTAACATGCTCCTTCACGTGCGGGGGCCAAGAACGTGGAAATTCTTTTTAGATTGGGTGGCGGTGAGATTCGATCGCATGACCTCTGTCTATTCTGATACCATGTTGAAGTGTGTTATCATCTCATCTAATAGCTTAAGCTGTTAAAGAGAGCACATTTCTTATTAGTTAATAATTTTTTCAACACGCCCCTCACGTGCGAACCTGATTGTTTTTTCATAGAGCACACATATTATTTACTTATATTCTCAACATGTTTCTGGTTCCTAACACAACTTTTTTTATGGTACATGGGAAAACAAAAACTAAAAAGGTTTATAATCTTTCAAAATATATACCCCTTTTCTAGTGCTTAAAGCTTATTTAACTTTTAACGGGAAGTTATTTGTCATTTTAAAATCGTGACCAATTTCTAGCTCTCTGAGTGGATGTATGTCGGGTAATTCAAATTAAAAGTGCATGAGTCAAACATGGTTAAAAATAATATGCTTAATAGACCTAAGTAATTTACTGATAAACACCGCGTGATTTCTCGTTCTTCTTATGAGTTATGATGAATAATTATATCTACTAATTTATATATAGTTGTACCTATTAGTTTAGTGACGGAGCCAGAAATTTTATGAAGGGTGTTCAGGCAGTGGCGGAGCCAAAATTTTTAATTAGGGGGTTCAAAATCTTAAGGGGGTTCAACATTTACTATATATACATAAAAAAATATTTTAACCATGTAAAAATTATATAATTTTCCGCCCAAGGGGGGTCAGATGACCCCCCTAAAGATAGGGTGGCTCTGCCACTGTGTTCAGGTGCTAAAGTGGGACTGTTCTTCTTTAAAAGTGAAAAAAAAGAGCTGCTACTATAGTGAGATTCAAACACACGGACACTTAAAATTTGTGTGTCTTTGATCTTTAAAGGCGCCTGAAACCATTGGGTTATATCATATTGTTGTGTCAAGGGTGTCCATATATGTTATTTAAGCACTTTAATTTATTTATCATTTTACTTGTGTTTATGATATAATTTTCTGACGTTTACAATTGTGGACACTATGACATGAGTGTAGCTACAGCCCAGGCTATTACATGCCCCATGAAAGTATTGACTTGGTTATAGTTGTATGCATAGTTTTACTTATTACTTGATAAGTTATACTCTCCTCTCTCTCCTTGTTCACTTTTATTTGTTTACTACGGACTTTAACATTTCTTAAGAAACAAAGGTTAATGTGTACAATTTTTAGGTTTTGGACAATGATTTGAGGAATAAGTAATTAACAATGAGGGTAAAATAGAAAAAAAAATAATTATCTTTTCTTGATATGTTAAAAGTGATAAATAAAAAAAAAAAAATTGAAATAATAAACCAGTGAACTTGAGCGGTTGACTATGATTCATTATTTGGCCCATTTTGACATACCCTATTTCAACTCAAGTAACATTAGTTCACCCATTTATTAACCTAAAACTAATACTACAACTTATCCTTTAAACACCCCTAATTATACTGTAGCCAACGTGATGAAAATAAGGTATGCATCAAGAATTAAACAAGATGAAGAAAGTTGGGTAAATATATTAGTTAGCACCTTATAATTTAATCGTGAGCCACAACTAACGAATTAATTCTTTATAAAAAATTTGTTACTTGAAATTTAATTATCATAACATGACCAAATGTTATAAATTTAGGACACAAATTCAACACATGGTACGTAGTACTACGTACGTTTGAACATTAACAACGAGACTCTTTTAAATAAACTTTTCACAAATGGTATGGATGAATAATTTTGCAAAGTTAAAGGACAAGTTTAATTTTTTTTCCTAAATTAAATAAACTTAATTTGATTATACAGTACGTTGTAAAGGTGATAAGGATATATGCATCCAAAAGGAGTATAGTGTTAGTCTGTCCATGGCCTTAAGTTTGAGCTGAATATACGCATCATATAAATTGAAATTGATAAAATAACATATAATATTTGTTCGATTAGTCAATTATAACTTTCTTCATTAACTTGACTCCTCAGGTGTACCTTTATGTAAGACGACACAAAGCCATAAATGAGTCAACATATAAGTTTGAAAAGGAATTTGAAGATCTGGAAATAATACTTAATTTTTCTTCTACGTTAAGTATTTGCTTATAAAGACTAAAGAATGTGCTTCTTTAATTAAAAGTATTGAATTAATAAAGAGAGGACTACAATTAAAGATATTTTCTTCCAAAAGTTTCAAAGAAAGGACCTCATTATTACACAATTAATCATCGGTTCCACCGATATCGGAAAAGAACCAAAAAGTTTATATAGCTTTTAGAAAAAATAATTCATATGTTAAGTAATTATCATCCCCACATATTGAGATTAATTCATCAACTAAATGGGAAAAAAATGGTACGTAGCTAATTTAAAAAATTGATAGCTCCCTTTATGATTTGAAAAGATAACTTAATTAGGGCTAAGTTTTATTTTGGAAAAGGCCGAATCTTTGACTGCTAAGCACTCAATAAATTGTGTAGTCAGTAAATCTATATTTTAATTTTGACAACTTTTATAGGGATCCACTTTCATTTATACTCCCTTTGTCCCTAATTACTTATTCATTTTTTCTTTTTTAGTTGTCCCTAATTATTTGTCAATTTTGACAAATCAAGAAATGAATTATTTTTTCTTACCTATTATACCCTCAGTTAAATACTTTGAAAAAGATAAAACTTTTTGAAAAGCTTAAATTTTTTACTCACCCACTTCATAATTAATAGGGGTAAAATGGTAAAGTCACTATGTCAATTATTGTTTTCTTAATAGGTGTTCAATTCAAAAGTGGACAAATAATTAGGAACAGAAGAAGTATATTATTGACATTTCATACCGTGTCCAATACCTGTATGAAGTCTGAATTACGCTTCCAACAAGATTTTAGCTTAAACTTGAAATGTCTAATGATAGGAGGAATTCCAACCATTTCACAATTATTCATATCGGTTAAAGAATACTTATAATTAAAAAGTCACAATTAACATAAACAACTCCTTTAGTTTTTTGTTTTTATTTATTTTTCGGAAAAATCTTTTTGGTCAGAATGATATTTTATCTATATTATTTTACCTTTTAAAACATTTTTACCCTTTTAACTTTAATA